ACCCCCCCGGGGGGGTTTGGGGGGGGGGGGGCAGAGAAATCCCCCCCCCCTGAATAGAACAGAATTCCAGGCTGCTCCCCTCCTTGGCCACTTTCCCTCCGTTGCTGCTGCTTGTCCTGCCCTCGGGGGGCTTCGGAGAAGAGCTTGAGCCCCCAAATCTTCTCTGTCGCAACCCCTCAGAGATCGGAGCCCTGCTAGCATGTCTCCCCTCGTCCCTTCTTTTCATCAAACGAGACATATTTTAGCTCTCCTTATTTGCAAGCAGCCCCTCGACACCCTCCTCACTGGCTGCCCCCCCCCGAAACTCCCCAGGTGAGCTGCAAAAGAGGCTCAGCGCTTCCCCCGGTCATCCAAGCCAACTTTAATGGAAGATCGATGGGAGACTTGCTCAGGAGACAAAGGGGGGACCACCACACTTCATTCCGCTTTGGGGGTGGGGGGGAGGATTGTGCCCTTCCAGAGGCGCCATGTGCATCAGCTGGGAGAGGGGGAACAGAGAGGGAAACACCCCCAAACCCCCCCCCCCCCCCCCACAAGACCACCAAGCCATGCCCACCTAGTTACATGACCACCAAGCCATGTCCACCCAGTCACCCTGCCCCCCCCCCCCCCCCCCCACTGCTGAGCCTTGAGCCGGAGTTCTCTCTCTACCCAGCCTGGCCAGCAATAGGGCAGTCCTTTTGGGCTCGTTCGCAGCGGAAGGGACGGGCTCTTTTAAAGAGGGAGCCGAGTGGAAACGTCCGCTCCTCTCCTCAACGGGGAGTCCGCCAGGCTGGCCGGACCCACCAGCCTGAGGGCAGATGCCCAGCCAAGAGTCCTCCAGCCACCTGGGTGCCCGCAGAACCCCCCTCAGTCCATCTTGGTGGGCTCCTTCTGCCGCTGCTTCCTCTCCCAAACCATCTTCGTCAGCGAGAGCAAGATGGGGACAGCCATGGGGAGGAACAGCGGGATGTAGATGGCAAACTTCTGGTCGTCGGGAAAGTAGAGCAGGTGGAGGAGGGAGGGGTCGAAGAAGGCCCGCTCGGACGAAGTGGCCGCTGCCTTGCTGGCCTGGAAGGCCGAGTCCAGGTGACCCAGGTGCAGCTCCGCCATCGCCTGCCGGGCAGACTCCACGGCGTGGTAGACCTGCGGGAGGGGAGGGCAAGGCACCGGTGTGGCATCCTGAGGAGGGCTGGGACCCCTGACCCCCCCCACCCCAGAGAGCCGTGGGCCCCCCTCCCCCTGTGCCCTGTACCTCCGAGGCCACGGCGTCCTTGATGACGATGTTGCTGATCTTGTCCAGCAGTTGGGCCAGCGAGGTCAGCGTGGTGGAGACCGTGGCCACGTTCTCCACCGTCCGGCTCCACAGCAGGCGGTCCAGCTCCCAGTCGGTCAGGCCCTCGTTCCCAGGGCTCTCCAGCAAAGCCCCTTCTGGCAGGGGGCCGGAGGAGATGCCGAACAGTAATCTGGGGAAGGGGGGAGCAAAGCGTCACCTGGGGGAGGAACCTGGCGGCTGCGCTCCAGAGCTTTTGGGCAGAAGGCAGAGCCCGGCGGCTGCTTTATGGCTGGGGCAGGACTGGCCGGTCGTTTTTCTGGCCAGCGGTCAGGCGGGCTAAAGAGGCGACGCTGCTGGAGAGGGCAGACCCAGAACCAGAAACCCGGGCCCTCCCGCCATGCAAGGTCCTGGGGAGGGAGGGTAGCAATCACTCGGGGGGGGGGGAGACAATGGGACAAAACCTTGGTGCACCACCACCCAACCCAATACAGGCAGTCCTCGACTTACGACCACAATGGAGCCAAAACGTCTGTTGCTAAGCGAGACAAGTTAAGTGAATTTTGCCCCATTTTACAACCTTTCCCGCCACAGTTGTTAAGCGACTCACTGCGGTCATTAAGTTGGTAACATGGTTATTAAGTGGTTCTGGTTTCCCCGTGGACTTTGCTGGTCCGAAGTTTGCAAAAGGGGAATCACGTGGCCCAGTGAAACGGCCACGGCCATAAACACCAGTCGGTTGGCCAAGCGTTTCATCACGTGACAATGAGGATGTGGCTACGGTCGTACGTTGAGAGTCACTTTTTTCCGGGCCCGTTGTAACTTCGAACGGTCACTAAATGAACGGTTGTAAGTCGAGGACTGCTGTACTGGCCTCTCTTCCCCAGTGGAAGGACAGACCTCTTATCTGGAGAGGGGGAGAAGCAACCCCCCCCCCAGCCGCCCCCCAAGGCCAGAACTAGAGATGAAGAGCAATTCATCTCTGCTCCGCCTTCAACCGGATTCCCTGCATTCAACGGGGTTGGACTAGATGGCCTCTAAGGCCCCACCCTCGACTAGATG